TATGTTCTTGTGCACTGGTGACAGTGATAGCAACTTTCAGTGGATTCCAGGGCTGCAAGTTCCCAGATCAGAGAACTCAAAATTACAAGGGCTCTGAGCAGCCTCATGAGATTGGAGAGACTTCTCTCCTACCTAATAACGGTGTATAAATACATATTATAAAACATTCTAAATAGCGACTTTTCAAAAGCCACAGGGTCAACAAGTGGCAAAGCAGAGGCCTGGCCTGTGCCATCACAGCCCTCCCCACCAGCCCCCCAGAGCTGCTGGCATAGTGAGTGTGTGGCAAGCTCCTCTCCTTGGTGTCTTGTCAATGGGGTCACTGCTCTGCAAGGGGGAAGGGTCTTCTTTTGGACACTCCAGGGCCCATCAGCCGTAGTTTTGCCAGGATAACAGGGGCAGGTTGAGTCCATTCCTAGGAGGACTCTAAGCCCCGAGGCAGGTGTCAGATCCTCCAGGGGAAGAGAGGCAGAGTGCAAAGAGAGCATGAGGCCCCAAGCACATGGCTTTGCAGCTGCCTGGGTGTCACCTCGAGCCCCCGATGTTGAGCATCCCTGAATCACCCCAACTTCCCTGCCTTGTTACCAGATCTCACCAGGAGGCAAAGCCAGAGAGACACAGAATGCTAGGCCCACAGAATGCTAGACTGTATTTAAACGTTTGGTGACAGTGGCAGGTAGAGCTTGCCACAAGGGGATTTAGCAGATTAAGACCCCATCCCCCAGGATTCCTAGGCTTGGAGTATTTCCTCAACTTCCCCTGAGTATCTGTAATCCAGCAAGGTGGCGTGGTGAAGCTCATTTCTGGGTCAGAAGAGTTGGTAGCCATGAATGGAAGCCCAAGTCCAGGGAAGGGAAGAGGAGGTGGGATGTGCAGAGTCAGGAGAACCGAACCCGGAATGTTGACACCACCCACACCCATCCACACTCACTTGGGAGTCTGGACAGCCAGTTTCTCCCAGTCACTTTGGATCTCTGGGAGTGGATCTCTCTTCCAAGATGCAAGACCAGCCATTGAATCCTCTAGCCCAAACCCTTGCAAAGGACACCCCTCCACCTCTGCTTGCCAGGGGTGGGGGAAGATAAGAGAAGTCAGCAGCTTTTCCTCCAGGAGTCAAAGCCACAGAGTTTCTGGCTTTGGGGAGATCTTGCAGAGGCCTGGGGGTCTACGAAGCTTCATCATGGCAGACTGCAGAAGCACAAGGTTCCACGGGGCCGCTGGACTTCATCTGAGGGCTCCAGGGCAGCTGTTTTGTCCGGTGGGTTTAATTACCTTCCTGTTAGATCAAAGCGACACACCCCTGGGCTGGCTCCCTGAGACAGGACGGGAGCAAGTCTTTGTCCACTACTGTCATTCATTGTGAGCTCCAAACCAGACAGCCCAGGCCATGCTGAGCTGGGTGGGGTGGAATGGGTTGGGGGAGAACTGCATCCCTCCAGAGATGAATAGAGGGGTACATCCTTCACAGGGGCGGGCAGCTGGGGAGTGGGTCAGAAGCCAGTTGTTTCCCAGGTCTCCTGCCTCATCCATTAACGTCTACCCAGGGGGAAGCACACAAACCAAACAGGAGGAGAATCCGGTCACCACCATGTCTCACTCATTTCTGACTCTCCTTCATGTGACTACTAAACAAAAGCATAAACCTCTCCTTATCAGAGCAGGTAAACGCTCTGTTTCTGGTAGGGATACTGAGACTAGCGGGTCATACAATTAGGTGTCCTTTGTCTCCCTGAGGCTATTCCCACTGGCACAGTCGGCTCTGTCCCTTTGGTCTGTGCTCCAAGCAAAAGAAAATCCAGCTGATCGTCCTTGAAACACAGGGACAGCCAGGACCTCAGGGTGGGAACACAGGTTTTCCAGTTAATTATTAAGAAGCCACTCACAGGAGGAGCAGCAGCAGGAGCACTCCCTCACGTGTAGAGAAACGTGCGGAGTGTGCAATGGAGACAGTGCAAAAAGGTGAGTCTATAATTCTGCATTTGGCCTGCAGGGACCACACCACGTACTTAGGAGGTGCTGCAGGAAATGCATTTAATTGGCCAAGGAATAAGAGGTTTGTTTTTAAAAAATGAAAAATGAATCAGATCAGTATATTGCCACTAAGCGATGTCCACCCTACATGCCTTCATATAGAGGTGTTGCCCTTCTCCTATTTACAGTTCTAGGGATAGTAAGCTTTTAACAAATTAACAGTTAGGGATTGTTCCGTTGGCTGAAGGTAACCCAGGCCTGCCTGAGGCATGGAAAGTACAAAGTGAGATCAAAAGGAAAGAAACTAGGGATTGGTGAATGTGCATGGAAAAGTACTGCTGTGGTGTGAATGTCTGTCCCCTGCCAAGCTCACGTGGAAATTTAGTGGACATTTTTTTTTTGAGACAGAGTCTTACTC